GAAATTTCAATTAAGTTTTGAATTTCTTTTTCTTATTATTGATTCCATTTCTCTCATGGCCCGTAGTCGGTGAGAAACCAGTATGTATTTCATTAATTTCAAGCAGATTTTGCGCAAAAACTCCATTTTTCTCAACACATTGTACAGGGCCTTTTTTAAAGAGGTAATTTTGTAAAACAGACTATTTGAGGCAAAAATCTCTTTAACTTTGTAGTTTCCAATTTTTTTGGCAATATTCGAAAAAAATCAAGCAAAACCCGAAAATGGATCTAGCACTATATTTCTTACCGTCGCTTATAACGAGTGGAGAAAATTTAAAGAAAAACTTTGGAGCGGTTTTTGAGAAAACAAATCTGCAATAAATAGAAGCGTTAAGTCAAGTCATAGACAACAATTCAACAACAAAAAAGTATCTAAAAATTTGGAGCCATTTTTTAAACATTTTTTTAAAATTCCGGGAGGACTTCATGTAAAGTATCCCCCCCCCACCCAAATTAAAATATTTGTTTCAAATCCCAGTGGTCGCGTCATCAGCCAAAGCGATTGGGCAATATCAATTTTGAAGAAAATAAGCTGATCGGTTTAAGCGCTAGGGTTGTGCACAGACGGACAGAGACGTTTTGCCGCGTATCGATTTTTCGGTGTGAAGGACTCGCAAAAAATGGATTCTGGTTGCACCACGTTTTAGAGGTATTTGTTTTCTATATTTTATCAACTGGATTTATCCCCTTTACGTTACCAGGCACCAGTAATAAGATTTTCTACGTCGAAAATTCGCCGTTTTCTGGCGCACGCTTACAATACTTTCTCTTCTTACGTTAGTAAATGCGAGAAAGTAAACTAGTAGTGCTAAAACAGCATGTACTTACTGACTATTAGTAATGGTTAAGTAATACTATTTATACCTACCATAATTTCTCTCTGAATTATGTTTTCTAAAATACATTAGAATTCGAACATTTGGTATGGAAAATAAACAGAACGCGAGAGAGTAATACAAAATGTAAATAAAGTAATTAAAAAAATATTGTAATGTTCTACAAATGTATAAAAGTATTCTAATTTATTACCACAAACGAAAAGCACGACGGACGGGCGGACAGACAGACAGACAGACGGATGGACGGACGGACAGACGGATGTTTTGCCGTCAATCGATTTTTCGGTATCCAGAACCCACAAAACCGGGATTCTGCCTACATTACGTGTTTGAGGATTTTTTTCTAAATATAGCGACTGGATTTATCCATTTTTCGTTACCAGGGCCCTGTAATAAGAGTTTTTCTGCCGAAAATTTGCCGTTTTTTCGCGCAGCATTACATAACTTTTTACTTCGTATGAAGTCCCTTCTTAAGCGCGAGAAACTAAAATTTACTATAATAATTTGCCTATCTCTGTTCAACCACGCCTATGAAAAGGCGTTCACGTCCAGTGGCTTTTTATATGCTGAAATGTAATTTAAATTTTGGAATACATCTAGTTTCAAAGAGTGTGTCTTAGTAAAGCGGTCTGATAATCAATTCCTAGCTTCATTCGCTTCAAGTTCCTTCGTATGCTGACCCCGGGGGTCGAGGCTGACCAGCCGCGCTGGGCGGTGGGCGGAGACGAATATTAGCTTCGACTGGAGAAAAGACAAAATTCCCACGTTCCATACAAAATGCGGCCGTTCATTATCGTAAGATGGTTTTAGCAAGTAACTGCTCGGTCTGTGCTTCCCCCACCGTTTCTGTATAGATTCAGCCTGTTCTTCCCCGATTCGTTTGCTTATAGTTTGAAGCAAAAAGCGAGAAAAGAGCGGGGGCGAACGCAAGAAACGCGCGCGTGCCGGATGCGGGGCCCTCGAGAGCAAGTGGCGCAGTCATCGCAGTGAAGGTCCAGGCCAATGACGAATGGCGACACGACCAGCGAAACACTTGCACAAACAAGCGAACGGAGACTCACAAAAACCATCTCAAATGCGTATTTCCCTCGTATACACACACACACGCGCCAAGGCATCCGAGAGAAACGTTACGTAAAAGATGGCAGTAACCTGTTACGAAACCATTACACCACGAGTTTTCTCGATTAAGGCATCAGAATAACACGAAGATAACGAGGTTATGCAGAAAGGATAAAGTCAAATTATCAGCACCAGGAAGAAGAGAATTGGGCGGGCAAAGAAGAGTGCCAAAGCGCCTGTACTCACGAGTCGGAACCAAAGCTTCGTTAATCACCAGATTCACCGTTCGAATATCTACTGCGGAGAATCTTGGAAGCCGCGCACTGCCGGCTGCTCTGATCAGCCACATCCTCCGATTAGTTCTAGGAGGATATCGGAGCAGCACCTTAGGGAACGGCGCGCGATCCCCGTTCCCATTTCCATCGTTAGCAGCAGCGGTCGCCAGCCCCGTGATCTAGCAAATCTCCCATAACTCTGCTTTTCATCAATGCTTCGAATGTTATTGGAATGGTACGCCAATTAGAAGAATGAGTATTAGAAATGGGAGCAGCTATCCGTGCAAGAATTCTTGTTTTTTAAACCCTAACCTTCCATTTCCACATTAAGTACGAAAGTTTCTACCACAACGTTTTTATTTGTTTAAAAAAATGTATACAATAACTTCCAATGTACTTGCAGAATATCACATTAAAATAGATGCAATTGATATTTGAAACGAATTTTCAATGAAGATTTACTCAGTATTATACCCATATTTTCTTGGACCTATTCACAACACTTCCTTAAAACCAATATTGGAAGTAATTATACAATCTTCCTTGACAGTTTGCGTTTCGCATTCCTTAATAGTTACAAAAATATTAGAAAATATATTTACTCATTAGAAAGCTACAAAAAGTTTCTCTTGCGAAAACTCCATATCGATCAATTACAACCCTCTTTGCAATATTAATTAACTTTATTACCGTACAAAGGGATACTACTGTGCAATTTAATTGCATAGAATATCAAGTAATTAGTTAACAATTGCATATTCTGAACGTCTCTACACAGGTGGTGAAATATCGGTAAGTATAAAATCAGCAAAAATGTAATAGAATGTCCAGGAAGATCATATTCTGTATATAATTGTGAGGTACGTTTCTTTGAGATCTTTGGCCTCAACATTCCAGGTTTCAAGGATTTAGAACGCTTCGTTTTGAAGTTATATAACTACGTAGATTTTAACAATACTGCCGCAGTGTTGTGGGATGCATTTCATATAAATATTTAGATGCATTTTTTTTTCAACAAATCCTTCATATTTTAAATTTGCCAAGTCTCCGTAAAATCCTTTCTCTTTCAATACCTCGTTTATTAAGACTGACAGCGGGTAAATAGCCGCAAACCTCATCTATTCTACTGAAATAATGTAGGAGAGGATGGATAAACTATATTATTGAATTGATAAGTACCTATGACGACCTTTTTCTTAAAATGCATGGCGTATACCTTGTTTAATAGTTAAATAAATTAATAAACATGTGGACATCTTTAATTCATTTCCCTTTCCTCCTTCTCCCATCAGGGATGTGAGGGCGAGGGCGAGGGAAAGGGAGAGGGCGAAGGGGCGGGCGCGGGAGATGGCGAGGGCGGGGGCGAGGGCGATGGCGAGGGCAAGAGCGAGGGCGAGGGCGAGAGCACACGTGCCTCGTGCCTCGTGCCCCGCGCCATGGCCTTCGGGAGCAGCTGCGGAAGCGGACTGACCGCGCTGCAAAAACCACGGCAGGTGAACAACCCACGCGCCATCGCACTCCACGAACCACCTAACGAAGCACCTACGGCCTCTCTACGTCAAAAACAACACAAACTGCACGTGGCATACATTTCATATTCGCTACATGAATTTTAAAATAAAGTTTACAAATATAGAAGTCAGGCAGTTCCACTAGTTGCAATGTAAATGAATCTAACGTCATGTCAGAGATCCTTAGTTAGTTCCGTAACTTATACATTAAGTATCTGACGTACGAATGAAATATTAATTTGTCATCAATTGGAATTATGAAATCAGTGTGCCCAAGACCCTTTTGTACGACTGGCGTACATTATTTTTTTGAGTAAGAAAACAACGAAACTTACAAATATGTAGTAAATGGATCATTTGCAATATAAAAGAACATTCTGATTCATATCGTCCGCTCCCAATTTTGATTACTTTCTTTTAGCAACTATTGTTTTTTCCTTGGAGATTTTTGCCATTCACGTACCACAAAATAATGAAATATGGATTTGAATTAACTTCTAATCAATATACAGTGACCGGAAGTGCTAGTTTCCATGCACGAGAGCAAAAATGTTAAGCTTTATTGCACGAGTACATGTTCCGAAAACGAGTGATGTTAGGAGCGAGTTTTCAAATTTGTACGAATGCAAATAAAGTAACATAAACGATATTGATATTGCTGATATTTTACAGCATTATACATTTATAAGAAAATCAAAGTTAATTTTTAGAAACAACTTTACTGTGGCGTAGTGGATATTTGACATTATTAGAAAAACCAATGGTCAGCAGTTCGGTTTACCTACATCCCTACGAGTCTCTCTCAGCGATTGACCGAATGTGTGAAGACGCAATTATTCGTTCCATAACGACAAATAAGTCATATATGTTCCATAAGATGTCATTTTATGAAAGTTTTCTTGTAAAGAAAAATGTCGTTTATAATGATAAAACAAAAAAACAAAAAACAAAAACATAAAAACAACGTAAAAGCAGCCTCGAGCATTGGCATGTTACAACCATGTAATGTAGAGTATTATTCAGTCAACTTCACAATACGTGGAGAAACTGCACGGAACGTGTCTCGGGTGGTGTGTTTGGCACTTGTGAAAAGGGGCGCAGGGGAGGGGGAGTGGAGGGGCGCCGAAGGAGCGCAGGGGCGGCCTGACGCCGGCGATCGGCAGGCGCTGCTCGCGCGGAATACGTGAATCGGGGCATCCCCGCAAGCGGTGACGCGGGAGAGGGGTGGGGGTGAGCGGAGGGGGCGCGGAGGGGAAGGCGGGCGCGCGGGCGCGCGAACCGGGCAGTCGCGCAGTGGGCTTCGGTCGCGGACGCGGAGGCGGAATTCAGAGCCACGCAGCGCCCGATGCGTACGATTCGCTTCTGCGCAACAGCCAGCGCCCAACGCAAGCCAACCTACCACGCTCGCTTCCATGCGAGTCTAAGCGACTCTTGCAAAACGTCTCAATAATATTTTGGATTTTAACTAACAAAAGGTATGTACAGTTTATGCAAAATGAAACTCAAAATTAAGCGACCAAATTTTCGCAAATTATGCTGTCATGCGCGAAAAATTGCTAAAATATGTGGCGTAATATGCGCCCCAAAACGTGTATTTTGGCAGAAAAAGCACTATTTTAATTACCATTACGTTCTATTTGCGTATGAAGCAATAGGCTTTTATCAAATAAATATAATTTTCTCTTGAGAGCAAACGGTGGGGGATAGGTTTTTAGGTCATGGCAGTTAATTGAAACTGTGCAGCAAAAATAATATTTCTTTTTAAACAAACTATTAAACAAAATATATACATTAGCCATAAAATCATCTTCTTATGTAATAGGTTCTTATTTAAAAGAAACTCAATATGAAAAACGATGAAAAGCCTCCACAACGAAAATAAATAAATTTTAAAAAACAACATAAAATAAGAGGGTATCACAACGTTTGGTTGAATTTTGCGCGCATAATGTAGAAATTACGTTACGCTACACCAAATGTAGAATTATGCGAATTAGTGAACACTGTAAAGACACTGCGCACTGTACAAACTACACAAAGCACAATTGACCCTAAAAAAATGCCATGTCAATACAACGATTTTCGAATATTATTCGAGTATGCCAACGCATGAAGTGGTCACCTCTAAGAAGGAGGTCAATTGAGGTCAATTTTTCATAATAATTAGGCTTGATCTCCTTCAAGTAACAAAGCAAGAACTTCAAATTACTTCCGATTAGAAAGAAAGAGAGAAAGTGAATTACGCGAAGAGCGCGTGTGCGCCAACGCCGATTCCCTGCATTGCCATCCCTGCGCAGGAGCTGCTGTCTGCCTGGAACCTGCCTTGGAAGTGGGCGTGCGTGCGTGGTGGAGCGAGTGCAGGTGCTGGGAGTGCCGTCGCCATGGCGACCGCCGCGCGGGCCACGCAGCGCGCCTGCGCTCTGCTCTGCGCCCTGGCGCTGACGCTCGCCAGCGCCCGTGAGTATTGCCCCACAGGCGTTCGCCTTGGCGCCTTCGCTTTCGCCAAATGATGTAAACGAATTACGCTCGTTTTAAACAAATTCAGCATTAGAAACATCGACTATTTATTTCCATAAATATAACTGCTTAAGCTTAACCTAATCATTTTTAAATTCTTAATTTAAATATACAAATATGCACTGCAATGTTGGTTGATTTATTCTTTTACTTTGGTACATGTAAAATGGATTATTCTCCTTCTCATCATTTTCATGTTGATTTCTGAATACAGATTGAAACGAGCGTTTGTTTTTCGTTTTGTAATGACAATTTAGGGCAATTTTCTTCGATGTGAAAACATTTGAAGTATTCAGCATTACATGTTCAGACAAGGAGACACGTGTAATTCGTGTTAAAACGAGCAGATTTCGAGAATATTACAATACTACAGTATTTAATAATTACTATTATATATTTTTCGAACTACAGTAGAACCTCTCGAATCCGAACCCAGGCCAATCTGAAATTTCGGATAATTCGAACAAAATTTGGCATGGAGGAAAAATAAACAAAATAAATAAAATGCTTATTTATTGTGGAAGGAAAGGGTTTTATTATTACTGAACAACTAATTTTTGAAACACAAGTTGTCGAAATGAAACGTTTAATTCAGTGGTAACTACTGAGTAACTTATATCACATGTTTATATATCAGTAATTTTCACTTTGAGGAACTTGCAAAATCGGTAATATTTTGCCGTAAGGAACTGAATCTGCTTGATGATGTGATGATGCGATCATATTGTTAACGCAACGCTAAGCTGCGTTTCATTGCCTGGTATTCCTATAGATGTATTTGTCTTTGTACGGTACATTTTTTCGGATAATCCGAACAGACCACACCCCCATTAGTTCGAATTACCGGGTTTCTACTGCATCTTCATTTGCTTGCCAGCGCTAACTGGTGTTACTGCGTTGTGAAATGTATATGCCAAACGGATCGTTCACTGTTGCTTTAACACCACCGCGCTGACAACAATGCGATGTAGCGTAAGCTGCTACCGCCACCGCCGCCGGTGAGTCGTATTTTTTATTAACTTTTAATATTTTTACTTTCTCGTGAACTGCTTACGGAGAATATTTCAAGGCTAAAATACTCATCGAATATGTTCGTGAAAACACTGAATACCTTAATATACTAAATCCAATGCCACAAACATATTTTTATTTAAACTTTTAAATTAAAAAAAGATATGTCATGCTAGTTTTATTTACAAAATAAAGTGGTATTTGAAGTGTAAAAAAGGCAGAAAGTGTGATATAATATTACATAACGTTTACATTATAATATTGCGAGAAAGTGTGAGCTGTTGTAGCTCCAGTTTGCTTTATACGTAAAAGTCGCGCCTATACACTTGTCCCAAAAGCCCCCTTTATCTGCACCGAGCTTCGATTGCTCCACCCCCAATATTCCCAAATCCTTCCGTTTTCACGTTCGAGACTACCATATTACGGAATACACATACACTAGACTCGTTCACTAGACCTAGTCACAATCAGCATGTCTTCATTTCATTAAAATAAATTATACCCAGCAACACCATTTGGAAGCTTTGCATTAAACCGGGTGATTTCGAAATGGTGTCTTGGAGCTATTTGGGAATGAGATACCATATTTGCTCTTACACCCGTAGATTTTCTATGATTACGAAAAACGCTCATTTAAATTTCGCGCGTAACAGTATAATAGATAACGTTGGCTAAATGTTAACAACACGTATCTCAAAATTTGACGTTACAGGAGTGAGGAAAAACTTCGCAAAGTTTCCATTGCAAGCTAATAACTAATGTGGATACAATAGCACATACTTTAATTATTGGGAACTATTACGTAATATTATAATAGTGCAATTTTCCACCCTACAACACTTCAACAACCACTCGAAAAAATCCAAACCAATTAAAACGAAGCGCCAGCGATGCATATATGCAATTATTTCGATGCCAAGGACTGCAGTAATATCTTACTTGTGCAAAAGAAACAAACGTTAATAGATCTCAACTGTTCCAATAATTGCATCACATTATACAGACAAGCATGGATAATTTCACACAAGCTTGCCTTGATTACATTGAAATAAGCTACCAATTGTTTAATAATTGTACTATAATCAAAACTCAAACCTTTTTGATAAGTAATGTATAAATTAAAAATCCAAAGCGGAAGGCCGTCCAATAATATCGCATTGTGACTGCCCTAATATAAATTTAGAACTCTATCGCCTTTCACCAGTTAAATATTATACCTAATCACAATAAAAACGTTTCCACGAAATTATTTCTCGTAAAGCGAATACAGCAGGACAAATTCAACATTAAGCATCGTCTGTGGACGGTGTGTGAAACATTCAAACTATATACGTAACTACGGTGACTTGTCATTACATAACGAACATTTTGTATATAAATATATGTATATATGTATGTATGTTTGTGGGTGGGTGAAACAGATTGTCGAATGTAGGTATGCTTTGACTCAACACAGAGATATTGATAATAAAATTAAAATTCCTTTATGAAAAATAAATACATAAAGCCTCCTTACCATTCCGTTGAAGAATGACAAGTGTGAAGAATTCTAGGAATTTTAAATTGCTTTATAACTGCGTTGCCCATGTATTGCAAACTGACATCTCGTCAAACGAAGCGCGGGAAATTCGAAGTTGCAATTTCGAAGAATGCAATAATTAGGCTTAATTACTCTTTTTTTTAAAAGATTGTATATTATCTGTTTTAAAGTACCTATTTTTTAGAACAGATTTCATTTGCGTATTGCCTTTGTTTGCCCTTGTTGATATTATACGTATTGCCCTTTTGTGTTCATGTGTTCCAAAACTGAAGTCGGTTATGAATACCTTTCAACAGAATGTGGGAGTAATGTTTTTCATTGAGGAAGAGTTAACCAACTTGGATTGGACCATTCAAAAGCAGTCAATGAAGCATGCAGGATGAGAAAAGAGTCAATGTTGAGTCTCATCTTCTACAGATTCCACAATTGAGCTCGCACATTGATTCTCAACAACCTATTAGTGTCTTTCGATGAAGTGGTAAACGACATAACGTTAGTCGGCTTCTGCGCATGGCAACGCCGAGATCAAAAAGATATCAAAAGATATTTTGTTGCAAAACCATACGCATCCACATACCGCCTCCCAAGCTCTTGAAAAACTGCATTTCGAAGAAAAAGAGCCTCCCCGATTCAGTCCGGACCTCGTCACGTCTAACTACCACCTCCTCGGTCCACTTAATAAGCAGTCATTCAATATGTTCAATTGTAAATAAACTTCATTAAATCAACAACCATACTTGTTAGTTACGCGGGATGGGTAGTTCATTGGGATGTTTTGTTGGAAATAGCGGCTAGTAAATCAAGGAAATTCAAAGCTCATATGAGGGAGGTGGGAATGCGAGCTGTCCATAAATCGTAATGGATCCGGGGGCCCCGCCCAAATGAAGCGTCATGTTGTAACGTTTCCGGAGGAAATGACGGCCGGCCGTGGCAGGCAGGCAGGCGGGCAGCCTTCCTTTCTGCGAAGTGAGTGAATGGGCGAAAAAAGCGGCGGCGGCGGCGGCGGCGGTGCCTCCAGGCCGCCGCGTGGCGGGGTGGCGTGTTTTGGGTCAGGCGTCGCCCGGGGCGCGCGCCCGGCCGCAGACCCCAGTGACGCCAGCGGGCGCTGGCCGCGGCCAAGCAAAGGTCAAGGCTGCGCGCGACGCCTCTCGCCTGTGCACACGTGCCTCGAGTATTTCATCTTCATCATCATTACCGGCGGAGGTGGCTCAGGGCATCAACTGATGTCACGCAGTACCTCTGACCGCAAGGTCTTACGATTCGAGACCCGACGATGGCAGGATTTTCGACACGAGCTACATAGTGTAACGTATTAGCCAGCGTGCCTCGTGACATCTATTTGGGGACGCTTGGTAGAGGATTAGCCTCGCCACAGGAAGGAGAGAAGGGTTTTTCCGTAAAGGCAAGAACGCGGAAACGGGAGACACAAGGCTTTGGGAGTATCCGGCCTATAGAAACTTTTCACTGTTATAACAAGCGAGGGGGTGGCGTGACGTAGTAGGTCACGTGGGCCTCGCCTATATAACAGAGTGTACAGAGCCAGTGGGTGGGTTCTGGATACAGTGGGAGAACCTCGTGCGTGTGCACAAAACTTGGCGCCACGACGGTGCATATGCGAGCCAGGCTCGCGAGGCTCGAGTCACTAGTTGACGAAGTCTGCGGACTTTAGGTCCTTGGGTGACTGCGGTCACGGGGGAGCGATGCTGTGTGCGTGCTCCGCGGTGAAGAGTGGTTGAGTGGTTGAGTGCCACGATTCACGCCGATTCTCAATCGGATAAGATCGCTCCTGCGATCGAGGCAAACCAGCCGTTGGTGCGCCAGAACGGACTTTGTGTCCCAGCGTGACATCCGGTCGCGGAAGCTAGGCTTTGTGCGCTCTTCAGAAGTAGGAGTGGCGAATGCCACAATCAAAACCATCTTCAATCGGGTTTGGATCGCTCCCGCGATCAGGGGATAGTAGGTCTATCAGAGCTAGGGTGTAAGTAGATTATTAAGTGTATATTTTTTTTTTGTTTTCTTTGTTAATAAATATATTGTTATACGAAAGCTCTGTGTCTGTGGTCGCTGTGAGTATCCATGACGTGACAATAGCTAGGCCGAGTGCAGCTGGCAAGCGGAGGAGAATTCAAGCAACTGGCTGCTCTGATTGGTAGTTTTGCGTGGTTTCTCGGATTGATACTAAGCGAATGTCGCAACAGTGCCCAAACTAACGGGCCACGGATCACGCGCGATCTTTCTTATCTCTTCCTAGTCACATCCCCGCCCCTTACTTACACACATTTACATTCACTAACCTACCACACATGTCAAGAGCTTGTCCCGACTGGCGCGGAGGTCTCCTGGTGGGAAATATCTGGATGGTAAATAACTCGCAAGCCGACGTGTAGGT